GGGGGGGGGGGGGGGGGGGGGGGGGGGGGGGGGAATCCCAAAATCAACAAATGATTTCCTGATGTGACTACATACTAATTAGCAAAGGAAAATCTCAGTGGCATCAAAAGAATAGTCTTCCGATGAGTCCTCAAAAACAGCACAACAAACATAGAGACGAGAAGCTACCAAACTATAATTCACTATCTTAAAACAGCAAACAAAAAGGAAGGAAAACTCGCAACCGATCACATTATGAAGCAAATCGATTATCGCGAAGAATGACGCAGATATTCTAAACTTCCAGATACAAATAGTATGAATCAGAAGTCAATTTAACAAGTATAGAAATAAAAGAAGCGAAGAGTCTAAAAAAAGTGCGTACAGGGACTGAGCCAAGCAAATGGCTAGTAGGGAGATTAATGTAAGTCTCGTCCATGGAGAAAGAAAGCGATCAAGCACCGAAGCCAGAAAAAGGCGAAACACCGAAAGGAAGAGGAAAACTGAAATTATTAGGCGGCCTCAGAAATTCATCCCAAGGTACGAGCCCTAATGTTGCAGTCATTGTTGGTCATTTCTTCGCGGGGAAGTACACGGTCACGGAGGTCACGATGATCCACGTGTCTTCATTTGGTGATTAGACAACGTTCCCAGGAAATTTGGGCTGGAAATGGGCCAAGCTCTGTTTTGGAAAAGCCCATTACCAAAATGTAACTGAAATCGAAGAAAAAATAATGTCTGAGCCCGGGTTCGAACCGGGGACCTCTAGTGTGTGAGACTAGCGTGATAACCAACTACACCACCCAGACAAGTTGTTCAATTTCACTGAGTTATTTATTAAAATATATTTTGTAATAAAATTACGAAATAAAAAATGTCTGAGCCCGGGTTCGAACCGGGGACCTCTAGTGTGTGAGACTAGCGTGATAACCAACTACACCACCCAGACGAGATGTTGTTTACAGTCTAACATTTTAATTTTCATAAGATTCAAGTATACAATCCAATGTGACGAGCCTAAGTTAAAAATGGTAAATCTATAACGGTAACTCAAGGAAACAATCTCCCATAAACTATGGAGCTTAATAGACATAATAACTAAACTCTGCCCTTTTCATCATTTAAGCCCGGGTTTTCTCGAACCACAAACAATTTACCAAGAAACTGGCTGTTAACAAATTAAGTGGTAATGTTATTGAAATATGAAACCTCACATTCTTGGTGCAAACTTGCAGTTGACTGGGGCTCAGTACGATTTAGACAAAGACTGATGACCAATTCCTTGTTACCCAGAGAGGTAACTTTGTATTGACAGAAAAGCCAAAATGTTAAGGAATTTACCATCAAGCCCCACCTAGTGTTTAGGTAGAAAAAATGGATATCAAAAGAAGCCTGCAACTCAGTCATCAAGATGATGTATTCACAAAATGGAAAAGAATTCTCATATGGACTCCATTTGGAGCTTCGCAGTTAAAAATAGTGTGGGATCCATGAAATAAACTAATATATCACTTCATGATATGTTAGATTACCGGTTAGTAAAGTTTCATATTTCGGTGGATGTGGACCGAGGATGCATCCAAAAAACTCACAGAAATGCATCTACTATCTCTGTTAAATTATACACTCAGTGGTTATATATAGGCTAAGAAATACAATATTCATTTGATGAGAGCTGAAAATCATATTTCTGTACAGGTTCAAAGAAATGAAAACCATTCACCTGCGGATGGAAGCAACAAAATGGCCGATTACAACGCTGAAAGGAAGACAAGTCCGGATTGTAAGCCAATTTCACCCATTGAACTCCTAAGATCCAAGTAAATTTCGAAGCTGCTGGTTTTCTTTCCTTAGAGACTTCACCTCTTTTATCAGCTCTGCTTGATTTTTCAGCATGGAACTCGTCACACTTGACATTTCCATCTGTGCAGAGATTTCAAGATACGAATGAGTCGAAACATGAGCAAAGGAAGTGTAAATGACACGACACTGTTTTTGGTTTGGTGGTATCTGATATAAAGTACTACAATACCTCCTGCACATGAAACTGTCTCAGAATCTCTAAATGAAGGTTCCTCATGTCGTCATGAATGGATCTCTGAAAGGAGTCCAGAGTTTCTTCCAAAGTGCGTTGAAAAAGCTGAAGTGTAAACGAATTTCCTTGTTGGGCATCTGTCTGCAATGCCTTCTGTTGTAGCAACGGCCCTCCCTGCCACAAATAGTAAGATTAGAGACCAACATTTTCCCTATCAAATGGCAATATTTCATGCAAGTAAGCCCCTAAAAATGTGCATAATTGAAAAGCACTAGAATCAAAAGTCCAAGTCACGGCACAGCATATAAAAGCATTAATTAGGAAGAGTATCCATACGTTCATTGCAGGAAGAATCCCCGATTCTGTGACAGATAATGTATCAAACTTTGATAGGTTATTCAAAACTTCTTCCCTAGTCTCAGAACCCATTTTCTTTGTTTTCGGTGAGCCTACGCCTACTGGAAGCCCATCACTGAAAGATGACGTGGTGCTTAACCTCTCTGCATATGTAGAAAATCTACGAGGCAGGGTCATAGTTGTGGTTCTAGGTGAATCTTGGTTGCTCAATCCAATGGTTCCTCTGGTGCCAAGAGACAAAGATGCAGCAGCAGTAGAAAAGTGTTCAGGAATTGACAACGAAACTTCTTGTGAGATTACATCTTTTGTGCGCATATTTGGGTAGCTGAAATTCAAATTTGTCAAAGAAGTAATGCTGCTTTGGCTAATAGATGACGGATCTTGTAATCCAGAAATCATTGAACTTGATGTCTGACTACTTGAACTTGAAGCCAACATCCCAAAACGCGATGGTAAAGTCGCTGGCTGCCTCAGTTGGGCAAATTTATCAGATAATTTCTCGCCGCCCCAAGCTTCCGGAGGCGTAATAGATGAGTCTTCATTCTTAGAATTCAAGGTAGGAGCAGGAGTGGAACCCAATTGACCAGAAGAAGATCGAGAATCATCCTGCCAGAAAATCAAGTATTAGTGAGACTAAAATCACCATTCCTGTGCTGTACAACGAGCCCGAAAGCTCCCGCCAGAATTCATTGGTTCAATCAAAAGAACCTGAAAATCATGGCTTCAAATGTGAAGAAAAAAATGCATACTTCTCAGTATGCCTAACAAGTGTCGTCGTATTCACTTTATACAACTAGTATCTAACACATGTCTTTGGTGCTAAAGAGGGTCGGAGTGTCTTATACTAGTCAAACATAGGCAGGTTACCCAAAATAAAGTATCCAATCTTCTTAGAAAACTATTAACTATTAGATAGCATCTATTATACTGTGTAGGTTCTCATTTGAGCAATTATGACAGCAAAACATAAGATATACCTCAACAATCAACACTATTTATATCTAGCTGTCATATATCTGGAGTATAAGGCAATAGAGATTGCAGAAAGGTGATCCTAGAATACTGAAAAACAACTTGCAGTGAAGAGATTAGCAATACCTGTTTGGAAGATGAAGATTTCCAATTAAATATTGGATGATCACTTGGCCCATCCTCAATAGAAGAGAACCTCCTACTTGATGAAGGAAACAACAAAGGTAGAGGTTTCTTGTCAAATGGATGGTCCTTCTTCAGTCCATTTTGATCATCCCACAGCTTATCCAGTGAAGGTGTGATTGGCTGAACATCCACAAGGGGAGAAAAAACCTCCATATCATCCTTGAAGTTGTAATTGGAGCGAGGAGCATGTAACCTGGTTAAGCTTCCCCCTGGCCGCAAATGGCTACGATGTGGTGTTTCCTCTGCAGTTGAGATTGTGCTGGAAGTTTCTGTTAGTGAAGCTTCAAAAGTTAGACCTGAATGGCCAGGATTTCGAGAACTGGATGTTGTTGTGGACAGAGCAACGGTGGATGTAGTCACAGACGGTAGTGGGTCAGGCATGAGAATTGAATCTTCAATAGCACCTCCCAAAAGAGCAACGTCAGCAGTGCAATTGCCTTCATTTACAATTACAGGTTTTAACCTCTGCCATGATATACTTGTAACTGCCTGGATTGTACTGCGCTAATTAGTAAACCTAGCATGCCATCAATACTGCTTACGAATAATACTGATACGAACGAATGAAACGAGATTCAGGTAGAATGGTTTGAACTTCATAAGCACAAGAACAAACAAAAACCATTTCAATGGCTGTTTCCAATTTATCTTAACACCATATGTACTATACAAAATTTTTAAAAAAAATTATAAACCGATGATGTAAAAAAATGAAATTATGAACAGAACTTTTTATTCATGAACCTATAGCAAGCAATAAAGATAATGGTAAAGAGAAACACAATTAAACAAAACAAAACAAAGCAAAGCCGATGATGGAAAAAAAATGAAATTATGAACAACATTTATGATTCATGAACCTACAGCAAGCAATATAGCATAATGGTAAAGAAAAACACAAATTTTAAAAATAAAAAAATAAAAAAAAAAACAAAGCCGATGATGGAAAAAATGAAATTATGAACAAGATTCATGATTCATGAGCCTACAACAAGCGATATAACATAATGGTAAAGAAAATTCCAGCAAAGCGTACCAACTTAGGAGCAGACAAGGATTCTATGAACAATGGAGGAATACCTCTGAGCTACTATAAGCACGAAGAACAATGTAAGGCTCTGGTTTCCCACGAACATCATAGAAAACCACACGCCCATTGCTTGTTCCAGCAGCAAGTATCAAACCATCATCTCTGAAAGCCATTGATGAGAAAGGTGCCTCATAAGCAATGAAAGAAGATGGTCTCCTTGATCCCGAGTCGTAAGTGTACAACTTCTTATCGAGCCCAACACTAGCAAGAGTCTGAAAACAGAAAAATAATTAATTTGAATGATTTTTACTCAAGTGGACAACCTCTCACTCTAGTTTTTTGCTTCCACTATTCTTAATCTAAAACATAATAAAGCAAGATATTACTGATCAATCACGAATAAGAAAGGGACCTTATCATTAGATGGTGAGAAGCTAATTCCAGCAGTTGGTGCAGAATGTTGTTTCTGCCAAGAAACCTACACAAAAACAGAAGTACGCAACCACATTATTGCAACATAACTTATGAAATAAAGGCTACTGTGAAACATAGAAACCTAAAGAACAGAACGAAATATAAGGTTCATCACATAACATGTCAACACCAGAAAATAGTGAAAGACAATGAGGCAGGCCAAAGTAAATTAATGGCATGGATAATGGTTGGAACATTAAAGATCTCAAAATTCTGAGTAGTCATACATTAATAAACGTTGGCCAAAATCTGGTACTTTAGATGACAAATAGTCTTTCCACAGCCCAAACAAAGAAAAAAAGGGCAATAGAAATTTCATTTTTGTCCCCCAGATCCATCCAGGAATCGATCGGGTAGGTTTCTAAGATCCCCTGGAAAGACAATCCTAACTAAGGGAACATATCCATCATTATTGAATGACTTGCAGCAGAAACCAAGGCATTGCAAATGTCTTAAAACAAGAAAGATGTGGGTACTATAAAGGCCACAAAAATATCGTCCGTAACAATTTTTTATATTT